GGACTTACTTGGGGCTGATATTCTAAAATAGTTATTGTTGACTAGGATCTCTTTAGTATTTTGCCTTAAATTGTTTTATCATGCTGACAGAAATGCACCGCTTCATATGCTTGGAATTTGGAAACCTTTTTACTCCTTTTCCCTTTGTCCTGGACAACTTGGTTCTAATTTCCCTCTCTCTATCTCGTGCGTACTTTTTGGTTGTAAAAACATGTAAGATTAAATTTAATATGCTTCATTAAGGACGTATTGACTAACGTTTCAAGTATTCTCAAATGTTTGTTTGATCACTAGTCTTCTGTTTGGTTGAGATATTCAAAATTTTGGTTTAGCAACTTCCTTAATAAATGCATAAAGGATACAGGTTCAGTGTGAGCCATTTCGTGAGTTAATGAGTATCCATATGAAAAATATATGAGGTATTAATTCAACTTGCTGCAGATACAAGAATTACGGAAATCCTTAGTATGAAATGAGAATAGTTGAGTGCTTCAAGTTCTGAATTGTTAATTCTTGAAATCCTAGCAAGTAGGGTAATACTTAGTGCTGTACTAACTTCATTCTTCTTGCAGTTTGATGCCTTGAAAGGGACAGTACGGCACCTCAGCTTAATCCCTCTTGGTGGTGGCGGCATTTTGGCACATTCCTTGGCACATATAGCATCCTGGTTGAAGGTAAGTAGATATGCGGCCTGTGTTTTCCATTCTAAATCACTAGTATAAATTAATTTATTGGAATGTTCGTTGTATTTGTTTTTGGGATTTTGTCTAGGTAAAGGAAGTTGATCAATCTGGGGATGGAATTGAATCCATCATCAACAAGGTGGAGTCCTGCCTTGCTGACGGGAAAATAGCCGAAGCAGCAGAGGCACTTGAAGAAGGTGTGAAAGGCACCCAAGCAACAGAAGTAGTGCGCGAATGGGTGAAGCGTGCTAGGAATAGGGCTATCACAGACCAAGCTCTTACACTTCTCCAATCATATGCTACTTCTATCAGTGTCACATAAAATCCACTTCTTGAGTACGCATACTGAGGCTGCATAATTGATCTACATAAAGGTTCTTTGGTCTAGTGTTGTAGCTCCCGATAATTGCCTGGTTCTGATGTAAACAAACAAATCATAATGTGTTACCGACATTATGATTGAAAATGTCACTTAATTTTTTTTGGGGGGTTTAATGTCATGGGAAGTTTCTGAGCAATTGTATTTTTCGTCTTCAGCTTGAGTAGATTATCTATTACCCTCTTGAGTGGCATATTGTTTCAAATGCTGCAAAAGAATTTTGCATGCTATAATGGCATTATAGGCTGTAGCACTGCTTCAGAACACAGTGACTAAATTGGCCACCATGATGTAACACAGGGACTATTTTTGCATTTAAGCCTTATTGTTACCATTATTATTTCAAGTCAGGCATATGCATGACACATTACTTTTAATACATATTTCGACAAAGTCTAGCCTAGTGGATAAGGGCATTGACTCGCAGACTAGTGATATCAGGTTCGAACTTCAATGACACTCTGATAGTGTGTGTGTATGTGTGAGAAAATCCCCTCTACTTGTAGTTTAAAATATCGTTTATATTAAATATGTATATATATATTAACGGAATTGGTGTTAGGTGGACATAATGATTTTTTTTTTGGTGAAAAATTGAAGCTCGTGTATAAGTTAAGGTGACATTCTTATAGTTTACCCATTAAAGGAATAGATTCATTACTCAAGACAACGACAAGCCTTCGTGCCACAAGATAAAAATTAGCATGCACATTGCACATCTTGCCCAAGCTTCACCTCAACACTCTTCCTTCTCTAAGTCGAGAAAAACTTGTATATCACAGGAATAACACTGTTTTGTCATATCTAACCAATCATGTTTTGCCATAAGTGATAAAAATTCTACATGACGGAACATAATTATATAGGAATAGCAAAACAATATTATCCCCATGACATACAAGTCTCCTTTGAGCCTCCTCTCAAGATTTACTTTTCTATTTAGCCCATCAATAAATCGACCAGCACTAAACCGTTTGTTAGGTAGACTGCATGTGGTCGAAGTCAAAATCAAAATTTCCTCCACTAATTTTGGTAAATTCGATGGGCGATTCCGGTCTCTCAATTCAATTATCTAAACTAAGTCCATTCCTAATTCGTATGGTACTACCAAGCCTCCTGACAATTGATGGCCATAGTTTTTTTTAATTATTTATTTATTTTTTATTAAAAAAAATCGAACTTTTGGCCGTAGTTGTGTGTTATTGTAATGGCGATTTTAGAGGTACTATTGACATTTAATTTTCTCGTAACTTTTATATTTAATTTCTACATATTGATTCTCTTACCAAGTAAGAAATTTTGAGTTCCTTTTTCGGTCGAAAATTTTATGTTCTTAAAAATGATATTAATTTTCTGCAACTTTTTTTATTTGAAAAAATTGTCAAAATTCAAGAAACACGCATGTGCCTGAAAATTATTAATTAATAAATAAACTTAGTGCAAATGTCACATTCCTAACTTACCCGCAGCATTACACATGAAGAAACATCCGCGTCCGACAATCGGAAACTTGCTGATTGCAAATTATGTATCACTTGACAGCGAAGATGACGTGGTTGCAAATTACAATCTATAAATCATTGATTCGTTTGTTAGTCTGAGAGTTATCAATCTTAATCATAATTGGTGAGAAATCAACTCATGAAAACCTTTTTACATTTAAAAAATGACAAGAACATGGCCCTCACCCATGGGCTCCACTGCCAATCACAAAAATATTTATCAACATAATCAACAACTAGTTGCTCCTCTGGTTTCTTTTTTTTGGCAATGAAGGAAATTGTTACTATTCACTTCTAATTAGGGTGGCTTGTTCCGGTACTAATAACAT